TACTTTTATTTTATAACTTCTCATATAGCCCAGCTGGTATGCTCTCTCCCTTTCCCTTCCTCTCTGAAATAAATAAAACTATATTTCAAAAATTAGGTATTTAAAATAAACAACAAAAAAAATCCTCATATTAGATTGACCTTCCCAAAGCATTAAAGAAAAAAGAAGAAATATTAGTCCAAAGGAGTTGATTATTTAGGGAAATTCATCCAAATAAATCATGGGTTTGCTTTCTTTCTTTATTTTTACTTTAGAACATTCAGATGATGAGACATGGATTGGGTAGGTGCCTTGTATAGATTCAGGAGGAGGATGGGAGCTAAAGGTCAAAACAGGTGCTGCCCTTAGCCTGTTGGTTCTAGAGAGCTATTAAAGGTAGAAGTGTTGACTTTGATAAATAGGGTGAGACCAACCACAATTCTGTGATATGAGCCTCTTTAGCAGGCCTCATTCTTCTGGTGGGAGGGAGACGAAGACAAACTATTTGAACATCCCAGACCAGATCTTAGGGTAAAAAAAGTTTTAGAAAACAGTGGACAAGACAGAATTCTTCAATGAAAAGCTCCGTAGAGCTTTTAATATGCTCATGAGTATTGTTGCTCCAGGTGAGCCATTCATAATAGTGGTACTTTCCAAAATGACAACACAACATATCAACTAAATTTCTCAAGAAACTAGACTACCAAAGAATAGAAAATATTGCTTTAAAATCTACATCTCTTGATGTCATAAGTGTTTCACTAACTCTTCTGATTACTCTTGTTATGTGTCTTCCCGCTGCCTCTTCTCTCTCTGTTCTTCTCGGCTCTCCTGATCTCTGCCCTTTCCTCTTGCTGTCCTTTTTCTCCCTACCTTCCTCCTTCTCTTCCTTTTACCCTTTTATTGTCTTTATTCATCTTGCCCCACTTTGCCTGCTCTTTTTCAGACATCTTTCATAGCAATATGTTTATGGATACATCTCCTAGGACCTAGGGCAAAGGAAACTAAGGAGAAAATAAACAAATGGGACTACATCAAAATAAAAAGCTTTTGCACAGCAAAAGAAACCATCAACAAAATGAAAAGGGAGCTCATTGTATAGGAGAATATATTTGGCAGTGATACATCTGATAAAGGGTTAATATCCAAAATATATAAGGACTCATACAACTTAACAGAAAGAAGACAATAAATTCAATTAAATATGGGCAATGAACCTAAATAGACATTTCTCTAAAGAGGACATACAAATGGCTAAGAGACATATAAAAAACTTTCAGAGTCACTGATGCAAATTAAAATGACAATGATGTATCACCTCACACCTGTTAGAATGGCTACCATCAACAAATCAACAAGTGACAAGAGCTGGGGAGGATGTGAAAAAAAAAGCAACCCTACTACACTGCTGGTGGGAATGCAGACTGGTGCAGCCATTATGGAAAACAGTATGGAATTTTCTTAAAAAATTAAATATGGAACTACCATTTGATCCAGTGATCTCATTTCTAGGAATATATCCCAAGAAACCTGAAGCACCAATCAGTAAGAATGCATGCACCTCTATGTTCATAGCAGCACAATTTACAATAGCTAAGATCCAGAAACAGCCCAACTGCCTATCAGTAGTTGAGTGGATAAAAAAGCTGTGGTGCATTTATACCATGGAATACTATGCAGCTATAAAAAAGAAGAATCTCTTATTTTTTGAGACAGCATGGAGGGATCTGAGAGTATCATAAGTGATGTAAGTCAGTCAGAGAGACAAATATCACATTATCTCACTCATATGTGGAATCTAAGTAACAAAATAAACTGATGAACATAGTGTATCCAGAGACAGAAGCATAGAACAGAGTGCAGAATTTCAGAAAGAAGTCGGAGGAGGATGGGAGGGTGGGAGGTAATCAACCAAAGACCTTGTATGCATATATGCATGGCCCATGGACACAGACAGTGGGTGGTGAGGTCCTGGGGTGGGGGAGGGGGCAGGTTGGAGGGCATTTATGGGGGGAAAATGGAGACATATGTAATACTTTCAACAATAAAGAATTGTTGTGTGTTTTTTTAAATTCACTTAATGGAATAGTTAAAAATAACACAACAAATAGGCTTTTCATTATTCCCAACAGCTTCCTTGAGCTCCTTTGTTTACTTCTAGAAGCATTAGAGTATTGTTTTAAATTTATTTTTATTTATTGATTAGAGAGAGAGAAATGGAGAGAGAGAAAAAATAAACATTGCTTTGTTGTTTCACTCATTTATGCATTCATTGGCTGAATCTTGTATGTGCCCTGACAGGGGATTGAACCCACAACCTTGACCAAGATGATGCTCTAACCAACTGAGTTACTTGGCCAGTGTCTTAGGTTTTACATTTAGATCTATGATCTATTTGAGTTAATTTTTGTGTGTGATCTAGTTGTTCAAGCATCATTTTTTTTTCAAAACCAATTAATGTTTATAAATGTGGGCAAGTGATACAAGGTATATTTAAATACTTTACCTATAAATCTCAGTAGAATACCTGAGTGAAAGAGCAGTCTAAATAGTAAGAATAATTTACGTGGTTATAAATCTTTTTTAATCCAATACAGTTTATTTAAAAATTTTTCTTTATGTCTATTCCAGAATGAATGGAACAATTTCCTTTGATTCTAAAACCACATGAATGGCAGCATTCATAGTATAGCAGAAATTATCCTTTCCTTAAAAGTACAGGCTTTCTAGTGAAGAGAAGCCTTACTCAGATATTTGGGTTTGGTAATGCTAACAGAACCCAGATTTTTCTTCAAAGGCAAATACACTCTGAAGTGACAAACGATAAAAATATACACAACTTGATTTTCCTAAAATCTAATCCAGATCTATGGTATCGATAAAATGACTCTGTATTAGAAGTGCCAAGATAAGCCTCTATTTAATTTTTTTATAAGGAAATATGAAAAAGAAAACCCAGTGGCTATGAAAACACAGATCTAAACAATTTAATGATTTAAAATAGCTTCTACATACACAATAACAAAGCGAGTATACAGATTGAACATTTTGGTTTTACAAACATGAAATGTCACCACTTAGAACAAATCTGTCATCTCCTCATGACACATTTACAATGAAATCTTCAAGGACACACTTTTATACTTTTCAATTGTTGTCGATTTTCAGCAATCCCCTTCCTCCCTACACATTTACTTATCATATCACAATACAACTTTTAATCCTATTTTGGCAGAGCAGAACTTTGAGAAGTACAATAGAGGTTGTTGTGAAAAGCACCTTCTATGATAAGTTTCACTGATACTGAGATCACACATTCTTCTCTTTCAATCTTGTCCTGTTCCAATGATTTGGTTGTTTAAAACAAGCAAGCTTAATTCTGTTAAAGCAAATATTGTAAATAAAAATGTTTTCAAATAGGCTGGAATAAAACCACTAAATAAGAACTGGATTGAAAGACTATAGATAGTGTGCTTCTTTCTTATTTTATATTTTTTATTGATTTGAGAGAGAGGGAAAGAGAGAAATATCAATAATAAACATTGATCGGCTGCCTTCTGCACTTTCCCCCTCCCCATCTCCCCGTCACTGGGGATCCAGCAGGCAATACAGGCTTGTGCCCTGATCAGAAATTGAACCAGTGACCTCTCGGTGCATGGGATGATACTCAACCAAACTGAGCCACACGAGCCAGGGTGATAGCATGCTTCTTGACTTGGTAATATGTGAATGCATTTTTCTCACCAGGCAGGAAGTATTTTATTTGCCCTCTGATGAATCAGGTGGCTTGTGGTGTGTCTGTGCTGTGCCAACACTAGCAGGCGCAAGGGGACAGACTATGGAATGGATGCTGTGCTGAGTGGTGGGCTGTGTATGCAGGATTGTTGTTCAGACAGAGTTGTAAAGATGAAATGGGCTCAGTATAGCTACCCTAAGCATCAAGTCTGCCTTATGGTTTATAGAGGGTGCATTATCAATAAATAAATTCTCTTAGAGTTGGATGTGGCCTAGTGGCTCTAAATTCTGGTGACCAAGGAACTGGCATGCATCTCTCAGGCAATGGAGGGGTAGTAGCACCTACGTGAATACTGAGAGTCAGAAAGGCCTCTACTTACACCAGCAGACAGAATCATCCTTTTTGTGGATTATTAGAGCCTGATGAGTCTTTATCAACTCCTGCTGCAAATAATACGGTTTTTGCAAATCTGAAAACATCATCTGGAAAATCTTACGACAAAATCACTCAAAAACACAGACCATTAAATAGTCCCAGGAAACAGGCTCTCTCCTTTTATCATGCTGTCTTCACAGTGTTGAAACAACCCAATCCTATCTGGGATGTGGCTTCTTACCCCACGGGTCTCTTCCCTCTCCAGCTCCCAGAATATAGGAACTTTGATCACTTTCTGAAACTTTTTCAACCAGAAGTGAGACTGTTTGTAGAAATGTGTCCAAGATAGTCAATTTTGGAAAGGGCTTCAAAAGAAGGATAAGTTATATCATACCTTGTTATGTGGGAAGGGAGCATTTGCAAATAAACTATCCTTCCCAGACGTGGAAGTAATAGGCTCAAAATAAATTGCTAGTATATGTAGGTATATTACAACCATCTGGTGTTTTCTAAAAAAAAAAAAAATAATAATAATAAAAAATGCAGCATTAGGAGGTGCTTACTAAGGTGCTTCTTAATTCATGTTTGTGAATGGAATGTATCAGACAAACTTCTACAAACGAACATGAATACACAGGCACACACACACATGTGGACATGTTTCTGTACAGTTTATGATCTGGGTGCTTCCATGTGTACACAAGAACCACACACACACACACACACACACACACACACACAGTTCCCTCTCTAGCTCCCTGAAGTTCTGAATGTTGTCTAACCCATTAAATGTTAAAATATTTCATTTCCGTATAAAATATATACAAAAATAGATACCATTTACAAAAACCAGATAGTATTTCCAGTTTTCCTTAGGAGCCCACTCAGTCCCCGGGGCCCTTCTTTCTTCTCAGAATGTTGCCATCTCCAGCAGAGAGCGCTTGAACTGCAGCGTGTTCTTGGACAAGTCTGTCACCTGGTGCACCATCTCCTGCAAGGCCGTGGTGCTGGGGTAGTGGAGGGCGGCCTTCTTAGTCGCCAAGACTATGGTCTTGAGCTGCTCGCAGAGCTGGTTGCTGGAGTTCATCACTTTATTGCGAATGTCTTGGGCAGCCACCTGCCTGGTCAGCGTGTCTCCGATGAACACCAGTTTGTGCGCGCTCAGGATGACAAACTTGCTGTGCGCCACGAAGATGCGCGGGGGCTGGGCGGAGCTGACGCAGCTGAAGAGTGCGTCCATGGCGTTGAGCAGGGAGATGTAGTGGGTCTCGCACTGGTCGTAGTAGAAGCAAAGCAGCTGCCTGTCCTGGGCGCCCACGCTGCTGCTGACGGCGGGGAGGCTCTGCGAGGGCTTCCACTTGGACATGTCGTTTTCCACGGGCTTTGTGATCTCTTGTTCCAACAGCTGGAACTGACTTAGCTGCAAGGAAGACAGAAGCAGATTTCATTTGCGGGTAAGGCAGTGTGCTGTAATGGAAAGTAACCAGGGTGTTCAAAGACAGACGTTTTAATCTCTGGTACTTGTTAGATGTGAAGCCTAGGTCAAGTCGCCTTGCTTTCCTAAAGTGTAAAATGTAGAAGCTGAAGAAGGTGATTCCTAAGAAATCCACCGGCTCTGACTTTCTAGGACTGGATGATTGCCTCCTCTCCCTCTAGACTGAAGGCTGCTCAGGGTGGTAAACCTAGCTCTGTTACCTATACCTGTATGAAAGTTCAGTGAGTTAATATTTACAAAGGGCTTAGAATGATGTTTGGTATAGTACAGCCTCTCTGTAAATGTTTATAAGTGTTGAGTGGTGTAGGGAAAGCAAAGGTAGGGATCTCTTTATCAAGTAAATTGCTGACAGGAAAGCCTTGACTCTGTCCTTCAAGATGCTTAGACAAATGACAATCCCTGACCCATTTCTTGATACAAATGACAACCCACGACCCATTTCTCAGTACATATGATAACTCATGAACCATTGCTAAGATAAATGACACTTCATGACCCACTCCTACTCTTTCTGTCCAGATTTATATATGCCACTTGAGGTTTGATGCATGGGTTCGTGCACATTGAAAGGAAATTAATTAGAAGGTGGTCAGCAGGGTGGGACAGGGCAAGATGGGCCAGAGACAACCTGGAGCCAACTTCCCGAGGTCCCTCCCTGGCCAGTTGCACCTGGGGCGGTGCAGGAGCTCGAAGAGCATCTGCAGAGTGAGTGGGGTCCCTCTGGCAGGTGGGGCCCCTCAGCCTGGTCTTCGGGGATTGGGCCGAAACTGGCAGTCTGACATCCCCTGAGGGGTCCCAGAGTGTGAGATGGCACTCTGCAAAGTTGCTGACACTTGGCAGCTCCTGCATTGAGTATCTGTCCCCTGGTGGTCAGTGTGCACCATACCTACAGGCCAGGGGGCTGGTCGGCCAGTCACTTAGCCATATACATATATATATATATATATATACATATATATATGTATATATATATATTTAAAATCCAGTGCTACAGGAAAGACTAATGCACATAACTATATATGTACTATGGAAAAGAACATCTCTAAGAAAATCTGAATGCTAATTGTGCATCATAACAGTTCCACAGAGAGCTGTTGAAAGAAAACGACAGCCACAGAGTCAGACTGAACAAGTGTTAGCTTTCTTCCTTCTCTTATTACAACCCCCAGATGGTGTATTACTTAAGTTGCAGCTATCCCACCGATTCTCAAGAGAGACTGTCTTTTGCAGGTAAGGACTCTCTGTAACCTGAGCTTAGGACTCAGTCAATCTTTCACCCGGAGGTAGAACAGGGATAACCTCGCCCAGCTCCTTCCCCGAGAAATGCACAGTGAGTTTTACTTTTCTACAGCATCTTTTTCTTCTTAGAAATTACTATGGTTTCTATAAGTTACCTAACGCCCTGCAGTCTTACTTGAACTAATGCCAAAACGAACACAAACAGAAATAGGGTGTTGCTTCAGGATACTGAATTTATGCTTTTGAAAATATGTCTATAAATACATCATTTTGTTAGATAGAGGGCTGAGGGATTCTCATTTTATAGAGAAATCACTGAAGTTCAGAGGGATTAAATGACTTGTCTAAGGGCTCACGGCTGGTTAGTCAGAAAGGAAGGAATAGAAAGAACTCTGGTTTCCTGAGTGCAATTGCCATTTCATGTCTCTACATGCCATTTTATTTATTTATTTATTTATTTATTTATTTATTTATTTATTTATTTTTAATGATTTAAGCTGTGTTTACATGTTTACTGTTTTAAAAAATATATTTTATTGATTTTTTTACAGAGAGGAAGAGAGAGGGATAGAGAGTTAGAAACATCAATGAGAGAGAATCATCGATCAGCTGCCTCTTGTACACCCCCTACTGGGGATGTGCCCACAACCAAGGTACATGCCCTTGACCGGAATCGAACCAGGGACCTTTCAGTCCGCAGGCCGATGCTCTATCCTCTGAGCCAAACCGGTTTTGGCTACATGCCATTCTATTTAATTTAAAAAGGGGCTTATAAACCCTCAGTTGGTTCCTCTTTATTTTTATGCCCTTGCACTAGCAATACCCATAATTATCTGCCCCACTCAAGCTCTACTTTTGAATGACTCTGTCTTGCCCAAAATCCTCAGTAAATGGACTTGGGCATATTTTGAAAATGTTGGATCCTGCCCTCCTACCCTTTGATTTGAGCAACAGCAGCCAACCCAGAAGCTCGTGTTGTAGGGGAGAGATAGGTAGATAGGGAAATAGATTGATAGGCAGACAGACAGACAGACAGACAGACAGACTGATAGACAGAGATAACTAATCAGATGAAACACAGCAGGAGTCAACTAGGTAAGATGAAAAGCCATTTATAGAAAGAGTTGTGAGTGGCCATTTATGCGTTCTTTAAAGTTATAGGGGAGCCAAATGAGTACATAAGGAGGGGAAACTATAAGAAAATAGGGAAGAAGGAAGCAAACTTAAATAGAAGCAAAGGAAATACAAGAAGGAGAAAAAATTTACACTTCCAAATGCAAAGTTATTACAAAGTCTCATTGGACTTGGGTATATATCTTCACTTTCTGTTCCAGAATTTCCCTGACTAGAGAAACTTTTTGCATGGGCTAGCTTGAGTGGGTCTTGTTCATTGAGATCAACAGCCTTAACCCAAACAGTCCTAATATGTTAGATGTACAGGCTTAGCCTGGAAAAATTGTTGTTTGGATGTAATCCAGGTATACCAGCTGAATTACTAAGAGCATAAACCTTCTCTTTGTTCTTATACCCTATTATATGCCTTGGGGCTTATTTATACTAAAGTGTGCTGGAAGGATCAAAATCCTGATCTTTTGAAGTTATACCTTTCTTATTAAGCAGGAAATCTTTTCAATACCAAGTGGTTTTTGTCCTGATTGAACTTACCTGATGATGTTCCAGCTGCATCTTGTTCTGTTTGATGATATTTTCTTTTTCCAGCAGCTCTTTCTGTTGCCTTTCAAACTCCTCTTTACCCTATTATTTTTCAACATAAAGAAAACATTACATCACCACTATGATTCACTTATGTTAACAATTTCATTGACAAATGCGTGGGTACTGTTTCATTTTCCACTGCCTTGGTAATTTCCAACAAGCCCAATTAGACTCCATGAATCCTAGACAGGGATGATGTGCGTCTCGGCCAGAGCTCTACAGTAACTGTGTTAAGTTAGAGCTATATGTAGGGTGCCACCTTTTCAGTTCCACTTTACCATTTTCAGAGAGCTATTCATGATCCCCTTCAAGTACTATTATCCAGTACTATTTCTTAGGTTTCTTTTCTAATAGACTATACTTGAGCCCATTAACCTCCTAACCCAGGTTTAAACGTGGTCACGTTGCACTTCTAATTTCTTTGAATCATCTACAACTCTACACCATAATAATATTTCTCACTATGCAGAATTAGAAAACCAGCTCTTTCCTTAGCACTAGGTGTGGCTCAGTGTTTCCTTCCCCAGTATCCTGCACTCAAGGGAATTGTAGCTAAACACTATAGCTCTTAGGAAAATCTTTGGCTCTTAGTCAAATGAAAAGAATGGCAGAGTAAGATAGTAGGCTAAATGCTAAATAATGGATCTTGGTAGAATGTTTTAATTCCCCAAAGTGAAAGGGCAAGTTATCAAGACCCCAGGTCAACTTGGTGGGATTTCCACCTGTAGGAGGCAGACTGTGACTGCCCAATTTCCCAATACAGGTTATGTTCTAGATCAACTGGCAAATGCCCAGTGGTCTTCTAGGTAAGTCTGAGATGAGATTAAGTTTTCTGTAAGTAATCGCGCACACACACACACTCACACACACACACAGTAGATATTATAGAACCTTAGAAATTCTCTAGTGCAGAGGCTTTCAATTATTTTTTTTTTCTTAACAGTTAAACTCCCTGCCCCACCTTTTAAAAAATAAAATATAATGTTAAACTATATCATAAAAGGCAAATAGAAGTGGTGCTGGTATGATTCTGTAAGGGCCCACTCTCTAGCTAGGGAGTCTCTTCCATCAGTAGAATCAAATACAACCTTGTGCTTCAAATGAGGACAATAAGACCCAGAGAGGTTATGTACGTTCATCATACAATTAGTGTCAGCGGAAGGTCTTAAGCCAAGGACTCTAGACTATCAGGCCAGTGTTCTTCCCTATGTACATTGCTTCCAGTTAGTGAACCGTTTGGATTAACATTAGTCATGTTCTCTCCTCTGGTAGTCTAAACTGCCAGCTTCACAGGCCTTACTTCTGGGCTCCCTGAATGTGACTTTAGGTAGTTAAGGAGTCTGGTTGCTTTACCTGTAGGTGGACATAATCATAATCATCCATCCAACTCCTTTCAGAGCCATCACTGCTGCTACAGTCAGCTACGGGCTGATCCTTGCTCAGGTGTGGGGGCAATGCCTTGTTGAGGGTCTGGGCCTTGTGGTCTCCAGGATGCAGCAGCTGCATCTGGGGTCCAGCATGAGGGTACTCAGTGGAGTTCATGATGCTCTCAGGCCCATTCTTCACATGGGAGCTGCCAGGGCCCGGTCTAAAGAGGGCTTCTGCATTGGTGTTGATGGTTGTGGTGAGCTGTTTGGCATCATCAGGCACCGATTTTGCCACCATCACAAAGCGGTCCAGATCATCACACTTGTTTTGGGGCTTGTTGACCGCCAGGATATTCAGGGACCAGCTGCATTCATTTAAGTCATGGCTGGTTTGGCTCAGAATCTGGTGGGAGTCTTCCACTCTCTGCAGCTCTCGCTTCATTTTGTTATAGAGGATGAGTTCTGGGAGGCAGGAAGCATTTGCTACAGCGCCCTTGGCAAAATGCAGGTAGTCCCTCAAGAACAACTCCACCTTGTCCACTGCCGTGTGTATCTCATTGATGTGCCGCTCCATGTATCCGTAGCACCTCCAGTCCGTGGTCGTGACCAGCGCCATTAGGCTGGAGACGCCCATCTCCAGGGTCTGCTGGAGCCGATGGAGCCTCTCAATGGCTGTGTCCGGATCCAGTAAGAGCCTTTTGTCCTGAGAGGGGGAGGCTGACAGTGAAGACTCCTTGGAGGTGGTGGAGGACGTGGACATGTTACTCCTGGTGCTGCCTGTGCTGGAGAAGGATAGCCGGTTGATTCCATCCACCACGTCCTGAGCGCTCCTGGCGTCCACTGGGTTGTGCAGAGGGACGTCGTAAACACCATCTCTTTCTTCAGGGTTTGCTTTCTCACTGGTTTCTGCTGGTGGTCCCAGAAACTGTACCCCTCGAGGGACATCATACGCATCGTTCTGAGTGGCCCCTGACGGTCCCACCTGTGAGGGCGGGTGTTTCAGGGAAATGCTTGGGTGTCTTTGTGCTACCAATTCTGCAGCTCCCATAGCATCACAGCTATATTTCATGTGAAGGTCATTCCCCACCAGTTTGGTACTGGCCGGGGGGATGTCATATACACCCTCAGGTCTGACATCTGGCCTTCCAGCTTGTCTCATTGGAGGGGGGAAATCATACTCCTTTTCCCTGAGCCCTGCTTCATCTCGGCAAGCAGAGGGTGGAATGGCATATACCTGGAAAGTAAGTAGAAACTGAAGCTAGTATTTGTTGAGTTGGCTCATGTGAACCTGGGGAAACAACTGCACATTAAAATGAAGGTCTGGCCCTGGTCAGTGTTTCTCAGTGGTAGGAGTGTCAGCCCCATGCACCAAATGGTCCAGGTTTGATTCCTGGTCAAGGGCAAGTACCTGGATTGCAGGTTTGATCCTGGGCCCTGGTTGGGGCATGTGTGGTAGACAACCAATCAGTGTTTTTCTCTCACATCAATGTTTCTCTCTCTCTCTTCTCTCCTCTCCTTCCCCTCCCCACAAACCCTCCCTTTCAGTCTCTCTAAAAATAAATGGAAAAAATATCCACGAGTGAAGATTATCAACAACAACAACAAAAGAAAAAGGCCTGGATTCTCAGTCCTATTTACTGCCTCCTCTTTTTCCAGCCCCACCCACTAATGAGAGGTATTTCCAAGGCCCCACTCTGCTCCCACTTCCTTCATCCTTCCCCTGGCCCCAGTGCTGCCTGTTATGTGTGCTCTGCTGGCTGAGTTGCTCTCTCTGGGCCCCAGCCTTGGAGGATTCAGGCTGAGAGGCAGATTATGCATGAACACACTGCACTAGGGTGTCAGCAGACCTCAGGTCTCTCCCTGGATCTACCAGCTGTGTGATACTTCATAAGTCACTGGGTGTTTTGAGACATATGTCCCTCATCTGTAAAACAAGGATAACTGTACTTCTTGTGTAGGCCTCCTCCTGAGGGTAGCAGAGTGAATCAAATTCATTAACACAAAAACATGGACACAGTGCGCTGTGACACCTTATCTACATATGAGATATATTAATTGCTTGCCAAACTGAATGAATGATTTTACCTTTTTATTGGCTTCCTTATTGACTACCCCATATTTAGTGGGGGTGGGGGGGGGAGAGGGGGAACACACTCTAAATGTGGAATCCATAGGGTTAACCTTAATTATTGCATTTCCTTCCTCACTTTCTCCTTCTCTCCCATCCTTTCACTCTCTCACAGAGACTAGTTTTTCTTTTGGTTTTCCTTCCTACTTCATTCCAGTAAATAAACACACACACATTTTTGCTGCTCTGTAGGAGCTCACTTACCCCTTTAATAGGAGGGATGTCATAGACCCCTTGAGGTTTCATCTCTCCCATTGGAACGGAAAACACCTGGCCTTTCACCGATGATGGAGGGATATCATATACCTGAAAATAAATACCTGAGTTTATGGAGGTCTTATACTTGTCATTTTTTATGCGTTAAGCTTTGAACTGTGGATTTATTTACCAGCTTATGTACATCCTTCATTTTTTATAGCATTCTATGTAATGTGGAGTTGGTGAAAATTTTTTTTAATTTATTTTTTTACTTAGATTGAATGTAAAAATGATCGTAAGTGAAATATCTACACTGTCTGTACTTTTAAGTGTATTGATATTATATACTTCCTGAAATAAAATGATAAGCAATAAAAGCTTTGTCAGATAAAAGCCTAGGATTTCCTGATAAAGCAAATCCAGAAAATATAATTTAATAAGTATTGGCTCCTGAATAGGCAAATCAAGCTTCATATGAAATGTATATAATTTGTAATTTTCCTTTCCCATGTAGTGCTGAAGGAATGCCACCTGCAGTGCTCCTGTCCCACGGGGACCAGGGGCCGGTACGTACCCCTTGAGCGGAAGGAGGGATGTCGTAGATGTCCTTTTGGTATCTGGATGGGTACTCGTACACATAGCCATGGCCTGTCCTCACCGGGGTTACCACCTGTGGGCGAGAAGACACAGAAGTGTAAGATTCCAGGCCCAAGTCCTAAGTGAATCTCCCAGCCTCCTCATCGGACACTCTTCCCTCATTGCCCCCATCAAAAGGAAGAAAAGAAGGAAGGAAGGCAGGCCCCAAAGAAACAGAAAAAGAGAAAAGGAAGGAGACAAAGGGACATGAGGCCAGTAAACTTCAATTCCTCTTGAATCCCCATGAAGAACAAGTCCCTGAAATATCTCTTTCCCCCTTCCCCATGGTAACAAAATCATCTCAAAGCTGGTCAGATAAAGACTCAATCAATTCCCAAAATATGCTTGAAGGGAGAATCACTTTTAAGTTACGAATCTAGGGCCTAGATTATTGCTTTGGAGCCTCAGAAGCAGGGCATAGTGGAAAAAAAAAAATCAAGGCTCTGAAACTATTTGTAAAATGAATAATGCAAATTGAGTTCAGGCACTTAAAATTCCTCTCATGCCTTCCCCGGGACGCCTCTTCATCTGCCATTATTATGATTATAACTAAAATTCCACAGAGTACTTTCACGAAACCAATGCTCACACAGAGCTGCCTTTAGAAGCCTCCAGTAGCCTTCAATCTCATGTGGGAAACAAATTAAATACTGAGTCGGGGAGTCCTAGGAGCAGAGCGCGGGTCTCTAATCATTTCCCCATTTCCATCAGGGAGGCAAACACTGCAGAAGTCAAATCCACTCATCACAAACCAGGCCCCGGGAACCAATGTCAATCACACCAATTGCACCCAACAGGCTTGTGTTTTCATATCTACATACTTCATTGTGTCCTAAGCACAGACAGAGAAATTATTTGAACTCAAACTTGTTTTGAAATGCATTTAATCCTCCAAAGGCTTCTAAATTGCCAGAGTCTTATTTCTGCCTAACCCTTGCCCTGAATGACTAACGGCGCCCACCTCGGTATTGCCCATGGAATTTTTGAGAACAGATCTTGCAAACTAGGAGGAGTTGATTGTTCCCTAAGAGATCGTCATCTTTTATCCTCTCTCTAATATGAAAACTCTGGCGTCAGGCTGCCTGCAAACGATGTGAAAAATGCTCATGTCTGTCTTGTGCTGGAAAGGGTGGAACTCAGCCAAATGCACCAACACTCTTCTCCCCAGTGGCTCTAAAATGCCCCGGTTCAGTTTGGTTTTAAATCCCTGATTGCTTGAGGCTGACTGCTTCTTGCAGTGAAGGTAAACGAGATTAGAATGCAGTCACCACTCCATCAAATCTCTCCACTGCCTTTAGTTAAAAAAAAAAAAAAAAAAAAGAACCTGTTGCTTTAAGGTTTGTTGGCACAGAGCACACAGAACCATTCTATTGAGTAGCCACTGTGTTGTGCAGAGCAAACCTTTTTAAAGCAGGATGCCCTTTGCTCAAGAAAAACACACTGTTCCCAATGCCTATATATATATAGATATTTCACTGTTGTTGACGAGAGGAATAAAGTATCTTCTCTTTGTCCTTTTTCATCAGCTCCTCTATTTATAGCTCTCTATTTTGGCTGTATAGTAGCACACGCTCACAACGCAGCCTTTGTTCATTCTAAAAGTTTCTAATAGTAGATTCTATCCAAGGCTGCCAAGTCAGCCATGCTGCTAATAGAAAACCAAGGCCGGTTATGCGGAACAGCTTCATCTTCGGGTTAAGAAGGGAGAGGGGTGGGCGGTGTTGGGATCTGAAAATAACCCTTGGTGAAATGTAAACACAGGGCATGACCTCAGGAAGGCGGGGCATGGACAAGGCTTTTCCTTGCCTTTGAGGAGCTTCCCTGGCAAAGCATTAATGCTTCCCAGTATTTAACAGCTCGTTTCCTGACAAATGTCACGGAACCCCAGCCTCTCTCATTCTCATTTAGAGGATGCCTGTGGTCATCTGTTTTGTTTTTTTTTTGAAAAACTTTGTACTCCAAACCAGCCATTTTCCTTGTTTATGCCTTAAAAGAAACAGATGGCGCAAACCACAAGGGGATAAAGCCAACAAAATACAACCTCCCCGTTTCCAGCATTCCCGACGACGTTACCATCTAATTCACATTGGCCCACAAATGGCTTTTACATGGGACCGGCGTTTGCATCTGGTCAGACACAGCCAGGGAGCACAGCAGTGCACTCTGATGCCTGAAAGAACGTGGAGCTGGAAATGGACTTGTGGGCACATCGCTTGGGCCGTTTTCCTGCCAATTGATTGTGTGTTCTCTCCTCCGGGGAAAGTGCTGACTGTTCTGTACCTTACAAAGTTCCCAGTTTTGTGGTCCACCAAGCCTCTTCTTCCTGCTTGACGTAGTACACAAAAACCTTCCTACTGTCCCCGAGTTACTGAACCCAGCCTACGAGGAACACTACGGTCTAGCAAAAGGGACAGAGGTTTTGGAAGAATTTTCCCGAGCCGTTGCCAGCCAGGTACTGGTGGAACTGCCACACAAAGGGCATTTTAAGCTAATTTTTTCAATGAAACCCAGTTATGTTTTCATTCCCTCACCCCCTCCCTTGCCCCGTTCTTCCTTTCTGCATTCCTTTCCTTCTATGTATTTATTTATAGTTACAAGAGCTCAGACTTAGAAATGACCAAACTGACCTCCCGGTTCATTAGTGTTGCCACCAAGGGGCTAAGTTGTGGGATTCCCGGGCTCTATGGCTGACGCCGCTGCAACTGCTTTCCTGATCACCCTGGAAGGGGACTGGCGTTTCCCAAGGGTGGGTTTCCTGTCCCGATGAGGAACCTGACCTTCCTCAGAGGTCAGTACCATTCCTCGTCAGCTATCGAAGGAGTCTGAGGGAGGACACTGAGGAGAGCTATGAGGCAGAGAAGAAGGGCTGACCATAGACATTCAGAACAGGGGGAGTCCGTTTAATAAATCTCCACCCTCCCTGGCAGGGCAGGATTAACAGCTCAGAGACTTGGTTGTGTCAGCTTTCTCACTAATTGGCTTGCCTAAAAACAAGCAACCAGGCAGGCCCCACACTTTGATATGTTTGATTTATACAATTTTGGGCTTCAGATCCTGGGCAGCATGAGCTTTTTTTTAGAGATGTTTTAAATTCTTCCACACCTCCTAATTTTGAGAGCTGTGCATGCTGAAAATTTAAAGGAGTTATCTTTGGGGTAGCAGCCAGATCTAGGGAACCCTGGAAACTAACCCATGTGGGAATCAGTGAGTTGGAATAGAGGCACTTGGGGTCTGTCATTCATGTCTCCACATGTGGTTCAGCTGCGCTTGCACCTGGCCTGCTGCTTAGACAAACCTGTGGGGCTGAGCAGATAGAGTGAAGGGAGAAGCAAGCTGAGGTTCTGTGCAGGGGAGATAGGCGTGACACCTACGGAAAAGAGGCAGCTATTCCTCAGTTCCAGTCAACTGCCATCCTGAGAAAATACCACCTGTGTTCCCAGAGCTTGCAAGTTCCAGAAGAAACCAGAAATCTGGGTTTTTAGGTGAAATCTGATTTTAGAAATTGGCTCAAATATTTCAAACAGCACCTTGGCCAAGCTAAGCATACCTCTGACCCCCTAGCCTTCACCGGTGTGTTGCTGCCCTTCTCCGTCAGCATCTTGAGAGCCACTGAGGGCAGGTGGACAGCTCTTCACTGAGTCCTTGCCTTTTAATACACATCCTGCCTTCACACCTCTGCGCCTTTACTCATGCTGTGTTTTTGTCCAAGATGCTCTTCTTCCTATTCTCAGATTCAAATTTCATGCAATTTTCAAGGCCAGGTTGGATGACTCTCTCCCATGAAGCCTTTCCCAGACAGATACAGTAAGTATCTCCCTCTGGCACTCCAGGAGCATGTCATCCATGCATGTCTGATGGTACTTATCACTTGTGGCTTGACTGTTTTAGTGCCTCATCTCAGCACTGTGGAGAGAGAGATCATTCTTCTTCATTTTTAAAAAGAAGGTTTTTGAGTTTTTTAAAAATTGATTTTTAGAGAGTGTGGAAGGGAGAAGGAGAGAGAACCATCTAGGTGAGAGTGGAACAACTGGCTACCTCTTACATGGGCCCTGCCAAGGATCAAGCCCGCAACCCGGGCATGTGTACTGATTGAGAACTGAACCAGCAACACCCAGATGCAGGGGACTGTGCCCAAGCAAGCACTGAGCAACACCAGCCAGGCCATTCTTATTTAATTTATTGATTTTTAAGAGAAAGAGCGAGGAAAATGGAAGAGAGAGAGAAACATTGATTTGTTGTTCCACTTAGTTATGTATTCATTGGTTGGTCCTTATATGTGCCCTGACTAGGGATTGAGTCACAATCTTGATATATCAGGACGACGCTCTAACCAGCCTGGGCCTCCTCTTCATTTGTATATAAACAGCAGGGCCCTGCGCTGTGTCTTGAATATAGCAGATCTTAAGTAACGTACTGACAATGTATTAACAACTAAGGAAAAACTCAAGGCTTTTCTTAGCAAGATGATACGGATCTAAAGAGGATACTAAACAAGGTCTGCCTGTATAGGATAAGACTGGTTTCCAGATAAGTTAAGCTTTAGGTTGGTGGGGTCCAAGGGACAAAGGGGTAGAACTGTGTCTTATCAGCCATGCATGGTAGTTTCGGCAAGTGAGGGAGTAGAGTGACTGTTAGATAAAGCTGAGAAATCAGAACCCATGGGAAAATGATCACCTGCATGCACTGCATCTGGTGCAAACCACTATTAGAGGCCACTAGATGGTTTCTTTTTCCCAAATCTAGAGCTGCATGTGTTCACCTGTGTTCCTTTCAGCCACAAGCCAGAAACATATGGGGGAGCTGTGCAAAAGAGAAACAAAAACGAACTCTGCTTTTTACCTTAACATCAGAAGGAAAATACAATAGAAAGGAATAGGAGTCAAGCTTTCTCTAGTTGTGAGAATATGCAACAGGCCTGTGCCATGGGAAGCTGTGTAGCAGGGGCCATGGCCCCATTGGGCCTTTAGCTCATCAAAAGGAGTAGGTCTGACTAGGGAGTGATTGAGAACATCAGCTGGACTCAGGCAGAGCTGG